GTGTACGCGTCTTGTAAAGCTTTCAATTCAAGCTATTAACACAGGGATTGATTTTTCCAGGCTCAAAGCAGCTCAGGGTCACTAGACCCCACACGATGCTACTGAGACGAGGGACGTTTATCGTCCTCCTGTCGCTTATAGTGGTACGTTCATCAGTTTATTTCATTCAAAGGCACCGTCCACGCCAATCGTATGGGCGTCATCAGACACAGATTGACCTTTCATACTAGTGCTCCTTCTTTCACAATTAGGAAAGGATCACCAGCAAGGGAGGAACAGTGATAGGGTTGACTCCGCCCACGCGTTCATCGTGGACTGTGTATTCAACTTATCGCCGTGATACTTTTTCCCCCTAAAAGTCTAGAGAAAACATTTCAGCCATCATTATCTTCATCAAAGGACTCGTCACAATCATCGGTATTGTCCTGACATTGAGCTGAATTGCCCCGAAGGATGGAGTCGTCTCGGGCAGAAATGCTTCAAGGCATACAATGCCGAGAAGAGCTGGTCACAAGCACTGCTAATGTGCTCCAGGTGAGATTTTCAGTGAGCATTTTGGTGGCCATAAAGTTTCAAAAATCAAAGAAAATTGTTGAGAAAAAAAGTTGGAAAATCATGGCTACTTTCAATGTGGGTGTTTTAATATTTCATTTCACATGGATTATTATTACTATTATTATTATATTATTGTTGTTATTACTATTATTATTATTTTATTATTGTTATTATCAGGAGTCTCAGCGTTTGATATTTTTGAGGTTTTTTCGACGCGTTTCGGCTTGGGAGAGAGGCGCAAAAGCATTCTGCTGATTCCCATCATTCCCTCCTGTAGAGACCTTGAACACCTGCAAAGCTATATATGTAACAGGAAGGACTTCATTTCACTTGGCCACAGTCTAGAGTCCTCACCGAGGTGTGGCATGTAAATGTGTGGAGTGCCCCTCCTAAGCCGAAGAACACCGTTTCTCAACATAGAAGTGCTTGGAGTAGTAATTAGCATCTTTCCCATTTACCTTTAGTTACAATAAGCGAAAGATTTCGATGAAGCATAAGAAAAACTTAAAAGAAAAGGAAAATCAAAGTCGCGGAAGCGAACAGATGAAGAGATTTTCGGAAGCGACCACCTACAAGTCAATAATCGTACAAGTTTAGGTATGGTGCACATTTGGCACGAATCGAAACACCACGTGAGAACAAATTCATCGCCTCAATGTTATCACGTCCCGGGAGGAGTACGCAACATGAGGCTTGGATCGGTCAGCTTTTTCCCTCTTGTTTCATTCATCCTAGTAGATTTATGCAAATCAATAACCCTACATATCTGAGTACAGTTATTGATTGACATTTTTGTAATTTTTTACTATCCACTGCCGCTATTTACTCCACCAGGTCTCCAGGAGAATATCACCTTTTTTTCTCGAAGGCACATTTCCCAGGAACTAGATGAGCGGGAAAGCAACCGTTTTAGAGAGGTGCGCTATGAAGAGAGCCTATTGATGCGCGCCCTCGTTCATTTCTCCGCCTATCTGGTTAGCGTGGAATGTGACTTGAACCACAGCGAGTGTGCAGTTTATTTCACGCACTTTCTAGTCGCACAACTGCTGACTGTATCACAAGCGGATGCAGGGATTCAGCGGTCCCCTAAGGTGTTGTATTTGAGCCGTGGGGGAGGCAGTCTCGTTGGGCTTGCTGGAGAGAACTTCTATAAGTGAAAGGAAGTGAGAATTTC